AAGGCCAGGTCAAGCCCACAGTACAAAATCTACACGGCTGCGTATTGGCCATAGGTTTTCAGATCATTGCCACCTGTTCATGGCACTATCGCGCTTTGCATCGCAAACACGAGAATTGAGCGAATGCTTACATGGGTTACAGGAGGCACACCATGAAACTTCTGGAACATATTCATTCGCCGAAATGGTAACACTGGACGAAGTCCTGCATCAAGAAGAAGCGAAGTCGGCGTATTGCAACCTCGAGGGGTCGTAGATGCTAGCTCTGATGCATCTTGAATATTCTACTGCGCTTTTGGCTCTTTGTGGATTCATCACCCGCAAGTATCCTGCACCAGCAAGGAGGATTGGGTTACCATTGACTGGCACCTCGTCTCGGCAGAACCCCCTGCTGCTCAACTACAACCTTCAAGTTCTTGGTTCGGCTATTGACATCCTAGCCGGCCGTGCGCGCGATTAGACCTCTGTACGTAGTAGGTGGGATTCCATATCGTCGCCAATTCGCTCGGGTATGGGGGAACCCCATCTCACCCTGTGATGAGATAGCTGTCCGAACGGACACAAAATGCACCCTATTCTCACACGGGAGCACGAACGATTCTCCTCATGACGGGGGCTTGTTCAAGTAGAGATAGGGCTCGGTCCGGGGGCTCTGCTAACTGGGGAAATTGAACCGTTGTTTCATGCGTCGACACGTGGGAGAAGGAGCCCAGTGACCCATCGCTCAGCCATTCAATCCCGCGGCAAGGCGATCAGCCTGTCAAGTCGTCGGGCCGCCGTCCTGCACTACCCCCTCGACGGTCGGACCTCTTGGCAGGAATCGTACGCCCGGCTTCGCATGTCTTTTGAGGATTGTGGCATGATACTAGCATAGGTTTCGATCGTCGAGTCGCAGTCGGATTCGCTCCTCATCGTGGATTATGGTAGTGGCCATCGTGCAGCATGCTACGTGGTGCACTGCCAGCGCGGGGGATCATGCATTCTCGAAGCGGTTGAATCCTCGTACGCGTCTGTGTAGCTAATGTTGGAAGTCTCCGTAGCAGAATTACTCCGTACCGACACCGAACTCGAGAAGTCTGAAGACTGGAAGCTTGTTCTATGCATGCAGCATAACCAATCCCACGTCGCTTGGGGACGCCAACGGGAGAGGGCCGGTGGGATACTGGGTATTGCATCCGATGGGGATCAGATGGCATTCGGGGCAAAGACCCAATCTAGACAGTCCTCTTGAACGGAGATTGCTCACTAAAGCTAGAGATCATGTGGAGGAACGATTCAGCGGATCTAGGAGGCGGGAGAGTCTGAAGCAGATGATCCAGGGTCTGATCTGGGATTTGGTGTTGAGGAGCAGCTGCGAAGATGCCGCTGACAGAGCACGGCAGTCATTCTCACGTGACTTACGTGACTGGTTCGCGCTAGGACCATCGGCGCTGACCCGTCCGATTGCCCCGATGCCCCACCTGCGCAAGGCGAGACGCGACTTTGCGCCGTGAATCTGTGTCGATGACATCGAGATCTCATGCTGTCGATGGTGCATGTGCATCTCCAACATGCCCTAGGTGCCCTCCACCGTATTCACGACGCCTCATAGTCGCAGGCTGGCCAAGAACGATTCAAATCACTAAGAGCCATGCCTGCCGAAGTGATCGACCTTCTCTCCAGCAGCCCCTCGGGGCCCTCTTCTGGGAACGCAAGACCCCCACTATCTCGTCCTGCGCCACCGGCTGTTGTAGCTGTCGCAACGGCGCTGGCATACGGCGACGAAGATGTGTTTGATTTAACAGCCGAATCACCAGAGATTGTCCCGTCCGTACTGCCGAAAGCGACGTCCCCGTCATTGACAAATTCAGCAACAAAACGTGCACGAGAGGAAATTGTTCATGTGAATACGCCCATTTACTTCAACTCGGACGACTTTGATACGACTATCGATCTCGAAAGCAGCCTACCAATTGAAAATGGGTTGAACAACGAACCACGAGAGCGCAAAAGACCACGACTCTCGTCTCCTCGTCGCAGCCGCAGATCCTCCTTCGACCGCTCCCATTCCGCCACTAATCACAACACCCGGCCGCCTGAGAAGCAGGGTGACGGCTTGCGACGAGTACGTTCAGTTGTGGAACCAATCGAATTCTCAAGTTCTCCCGGTGTCTTCTCTCGACCGAGGACAAGTGCTCCAGCTGCTTCAACGGCGGTGGATAGGCTTGACTCCGATGACCCGTTCGCAGCACTGCCGCCTTCAGCGCAGCCTGCGCCGGCATGCGAGAACCCGCGCCCGACGAATGCTACAGCCACCGGGACCGGCCACATAAACTACCAATTAAGCTCCGATGATCCCTTTGCGAGTTCGCCACCTGTGGCACGGAAAACGATACCACAGCCGTGTGCAATAACTTTAGACGATGACGATGGCGACCCATTTGTCAGCTCACCGAGACGAGCGCCGACGGAGACTATGAAACCACCACATACAAGAACATTAGCTGGGACTGCGGTCAAGGGGAAAGAGAAGGCCGTCTCACCGCCCAGACGAAAGGCTCATTGGGACCCCATCTCGAGCTCTGCGCCCGAGCTAAAGACCAGAAGTGATCCATTTGAGAGCTCTCCTCCTCCACCGCGAAAGACCATGACCAAAGCCGCTAGCGCTGTGATTAATCTCAGCGACTCTGAGCCGGAGCCTGCAGCCCGCGGTCTCGATGCCGACTCGGACGGAGAGTTTCCAGACCTCGATAACTTTGATGTTTCGAAACTCAAAGCACGATTGTATACGAAAAAGCCAGCTTCACGAACCACCTCAAAGGCGCCATCGAAAGCCACCTCGAAACCGAGTACCAGCCGCGCACCGACGACAAAAACAGTGGAAGAAAAGACGAGAGAGAAAGAAGCGAAAGCTGCGGAACGAGAGAGAGAAAAGGAACGCAAGAAGCAAGAGAAAGATGCTGCCAGGGAGCAAAAGGCCAAGGAAAAGGAACGAGCGGCTGCGCTGGCAGAGGTCAACAAGATCAGGACCGACAAGAAGGTGTCAACCCCCGAAATGATTGCAGACCTCCCGGCTAGCCTGCCCCCGGCCATGACGCTTCAAATACAGACATTGTTAAAAGACCTCGACGCGCAGCACTCTACCTGGGAGAGTCCCGTGGACAACGTGGTTAAGTGGAGGAGAAAAGTTGCAAGTCGGTTCAACGACGAGCTCGGGCACTGGGAGCCGATTCCTATGCGCATTGAACCAGACAACTTCGCGCTTGTCATTGTCACTGCGTCTGAATTTGTCACATACGCCCTGGGACCCGAGGGTAACAACCTCGAGGCCCACGTCTCCAAGATGAAGCAACATTTCCCACAGGAACGGCTCATCTATCTAATCGAAGGCCTCAACCCTTGGATGAGAAAGAATCGCAACATTCGGAACCGACAATTCGCATCTGCCGTTCGCGGCGAAGATGCTACAACAGCAGGAGATGCCCAGGCTTCGACGAGTGCAGCCGCTCCCGCCCCTCAACCGCGGCGGCGCAAGAATCAGCAGCCGCAGGAGTACATTGACGAAGACTCGGTCGAAGACGCCCTGCTCCAGCTGCAGGTCATGTACGACGTGCTGATCCATCACACCGCCGCGGCCGTCGAGACGGCGCAGTGGGTCGCAGTCTTCACGCAGCACATCTCGACGGTGCCGTACCGGAAGCAGCGCGAGGCGACCAACGCCGCGGGCGCCGGCTTCTGCATGGAGACGGGTCAGGTCCGCACGGGCGAGGACGTCAAAGATACCTACGTGCGGATGCTGCAGGAGATTGTGCGCGTCACGCAGCCCGTGGCGTACGGCATCGTGTCCGAGTTTGGGACGGTCGGGGAGCTGGTCAAGGCGTTTGAGGAGCGAGGGCCGCTTTGTCTGGAGAACTGCCGCAAGAGTACGAATAAGGATGGCGGTTTTTCGGATCGCGCCATTGGGAAGGCTGTCAGTAAGAGGATCTACAAGATCTTCACGGAGATGGACGAATGGAGTACGGATGTATAGGGTAGGAATAGGACAGGAGTGGTGTGTTTTGTATGAATAATGACTAGATGATTGTATCGGCATGGCATTCACAGTTGTGGGGTAGGATTCCATTATTTCGGCAGATATGGCTTCATGGAACCAAACTCCCAATGCGAATTCATAATGAAAACCGTGGAAGTGGTTTCTTACGACTACTTCTGTTTCTATTCATTTTCGACATGAGGTACCTATCTAGACTTTAAAACTCTTCCTCTCCCACGACGCCGGCATCAATATTCAGCCCAATACGTATCTCAGAAACCTCAAGGACAAGTGATAATTCCCGTGAAAAGAGTTTAATATTGACACCCTGAAGCAAAGCCCTTGTTAAAAAGGCCGCCGAGGTGACTGATGAGTACCGGCCCCCCTGGCCACGGGATGAGGGGTTCGAACCCTCCAGCACTCATCGATGGTCATGTTACGCTTTGATTATAGGCAGTGTGCATCTGACTTCTGGCCCGCTTTGCTTGTAGACAGTTTGGCTTCTGACATGTGTTTATTTCGGCCCTGTGTCTTCGGTGCGCCTGACTGATAGACCAGAATCCCGCCTCCAGAAGACATAGGGCCACCGACAATAGCGAGCGCAAGACTCGTAGGTGCAGTGCCGTGGTTCAAATGGATTGGTTTCCTCTGAGCGTAGTTTACTCTGCAGAGGCTCTTGATGATTCAAGTGTGGGGGTTTGCCTTGGGCGTCTTGTGCTCTGTGAAGGCTTTTTGATGTTAGCCAAGGATCCTCAAAGTGATCAGTAACAAATGGAGGTGAATAGCGCTTGTATGTCAGACAGCGGTTGGACTGAAGTTGTTTCCACATGTATACTTTCGGTACAGGTCTGTGAATTTCTTGCCTCATCATGAAAAGCGCACCTCTAAGGGGTTGGTGACGAAATGAAAATTGTACACATACCATTTGTTAATTGACCAAGATAGGACGGGTGAGTAAAACTCTCATGGGGTAGCCAACTCTGTCCATTCAGCTGTCCTCGTGCTTCCGTTTGGATGCAGTCGGTTTGAAGAACGCGCTGAGCGTCTTCTGCTTCTCGTCAAATTTTGCGCTGCCAATCCCTCCGCGCGTCTTTTTCAAACCGCGAAGGTGTTCAGTGCAGTTGACTTCCACAATTTCAAGCTTCAGATGGGGCCATCTGGGTTCCTGCGTACCGCTTCGCAGACCAGCAGACTCTTTCGCATCGACTGCCGGCATCGACTTGATGTGGATCAAGAGATAACCGGTGTTGCTCCACGAGAAACGCTGTTGCTGGTCCGACGTGCCGGTTGCCAAAGATCCAAAGTTGCCAGCGGCAAGGAGAACCCTCGCCAGCACGCCCAGGATGATGCCATGGGCAACAATGATGATGCTCTCCGTACCGTTGCTGGCACCCTCTTGCTCTTCATCTCGCTCTCCTTCGACGCAAGCGAAGAGAGGAGCGAGGTACTCGTCAACGAACCGCTCCGCACGCACGCGCATCGAGTCGTGGTCTTCGGCGCCTTCATGTCTCTCTCCAGACGACCGGGCGCCGAACCTCTGACCCTCGCCTGTTCCAAAATGTTTCTCCCGGAGCTCTGCTAACTGCAGCGGGGCCACTCCAACCGTTGAGGGTATGGACCCAGCGTCGGTACTAGACGATGCCTGGGCATCGGCATCGCCAGTGTGGGCTGCTAGCATCGCAGTGCGGTGGGCTCTTTGAAGATTCGACGAAAAGACATGCGTGATGGGGGCCGAGGCCGCAGCGGTTCGCGTCGCGAGATGTTCACCCAGGCGCTTGGCTTGCAAGACGCCATGGTTCGTCATAGGTGCGTCGCGAGACCCAGCACTGCAAACACGCGCCACGCCCACAAAGAGCGCGCTGCTAGTTAGAATGGGTGACAAGTTTGACTTTTCGCTAAGAGACGAAAAAGAAAGCTGCGACCCAGACTAGAATCCGGCAGGCTCACAAAAAGTGGTATTGTGTCGGTGTGGGAAATGCGTACTAGAGGTTCGCGACATTATCGACGGATTCGCCGTGGCGAATGAGGTAGAGATGAACCGCGCCCATGGCTGCTTTTTCAAGCGGACCAAACAGCGCCTTTCTCGGAATGTGCTCGGGGGGTTGCTTTTGAGGTGCCGCAGTGGGCAGGAAAGGAGAAAGCGTGAGGATGAAAGTGGAAGATTGAGGGAGAGAAAGAGGCGCGATCAGATTTTTGTAGCCGCATTGTGTGGAGCCCTCGCAGCCATCGTTTAAGTGCATGACGACCCCTCGGCTCGCTTAGTAGAATTTCGATGCCCTGGTCAGTCTTCTTGGAATCTCGTCAACGCGTCGGCGCGTCAAAGTCCTGAAGTTTAAGTGGATTTTCATTCAATTGACCCGCCTGTCTGCTTTCCGTTCCGATTTGGCGATTTAACTCTTCGATGTTCCATTGAAGGCTACCATATTCTACGGGCAGCACATTCTCATTGGCTTCCGGCTGGCAATCTCCGAGAACTCACCACTTTCTACGTGCGAAGCTCACCGCAAACAACGACCATGAAGTAATTGTATTGTATAGCTACCTTATGGAAGTCTCCCCAGCCTTGCATAGTTTCTCCTGAATCAGCACAAAGGTCGTGTGTCTCGGACTACCCAACACCACTCAACATTTGCTGCTAGACTTCATTCCGAAGCAACCTAGCTTACTGCCAGAGAGCCACACATCCTGGTCTATTTTCATGCATTAGCAGAAAGAGCATAGGCATGGCATTACATGGCTCCATGCTCTTATAGCTGTACTCACCAAGGTATCGATGGGTCTCGCGGAACTGGGTTGGGTTTCCAAATGCGCACTGGCAGACGAGGTTGCCAATCTCGTGAAGGTAGACGCAGTCCTTGCAGCTTTTTGCGAACCCTCCCCTATGGCACCGTGATTAGCGTCAAGGGTCTTATGCCACGATTTCCCTCTGAATCTTACTTTTCTTGTCCACGCAGGACTCCGTGATCGTTGATGATGCAGTCGTTGAGTTCCAGACGGGAACATTGCATGTAGGGTGGTTTGTTCAAGGGGCACGAGTAGTGGATCCAAGGGTTCTGGTCATTGTCGCCGAGACCGAAATTGACGAAATCGCAGTTGTGGAGGAAGTTGTCGTCATTCTTCGACTTTTCGAGGTCGGCTGGGGCTGTCATTGCCAACGTTGTGGCAGCGAGGAGTACTACGAAGCACTTCATCGTGGTGTTGATTCTCTTGCCTGTCAGAACAAAATACACAGCTAGGGTGAAAGTGCATTATCGTAGGTCAGCTCTGGCCTCTACTTAAATCAGGTCAAAAGCCGAGTCAATGACGGAGGTAGCAGCTGTTATGTATTAGAGTCTCGGCGAGGCTCCGACGTGGTGAATGGGCCCAGCATCGCTGCATGGCCTTCTAAGCTTCGGTTCAATCCACTCGATTGGCCTGTGTGATATTGATATGGTTGGCCGCCTCGAGGTTCTTGGCCACGAGGTCGACATGACAATTGAATGGTATTTGGGTGAATACTACCATCCTCAGAACCACGAGGGCTTCCAAGACAACAGCTGCCATAACATGATACTCCAGATACGTCGTACATGCTCCCTTTCATGAAAAATTCATGAAAGAACGACCTGTTTGCTAGTGTACCCAAGCTCGATAACTGGCCCCAACAAAGGTTTAGCCATGCTTTCTCACAAGCCGCCCTTGAAAGCCCATTCCGGCTCATCTGGAATGACATCGGGAGTTGTATGAAAGCGGGTTGCCATCATCTCATGCTCAGTACAATCAATTACGTTCCCTCCAAATCTGTGGCACCCTAGCTGTCCTCCCCTATTGTCCATCCACTCGTCTGTTTTCCCAGTAGTTGAGCGAATACTCCAGACTTCACAAACGGTAGACAAGACAGGAGTGGGAACTTACTCAAGTTGATGCTGGCCTGTACCGAGCCTTTGGGACCCTGGCATTCGCATTTCATGTTTGCGCCAACGTTCTCATACTTGCAATCCACGCAAGACTTGAAGAATGCGCCGCTTCGAGAAAAGTTAGTCGAACGAACCACCGTGCCCAGCAAACAAGTTCAACAAGAAAACATTGAAAACTTCTCACTCTCTCCGGTAAACTATTTCGCCGTGGGCGTTTGCGAAACAGGCGGTCAGGGGCATCCAGGAGCACATTTGGCCTCCCTTGCCGTCGTCACACTTAGCCACGAGATAGGGGGTTGAATCCTTCTTCTTGCTACCATCTTCTACGAGGACTCTCGGGCCGAAGAAGCGAACATCTGAGCAAGAAGCCTTGGAGTTTGCTGGTATCTTCTTCTCTATCCTGCTTTGGATGGTGTCGAGCACCGTAGAGGACTTGTATGGTGCTGTAATGGTTTCGCAGGCCATCGCGAATATGGCGAGGAAGATGGAGGGGAAGATCATGGCAGCGATCAAGGCAGGTACTAGTGAGCGGATTATGTGAGAGGAAAAATTAAGGACAAGAATTTGGATAGGCAGGAGAACTGTCGGCAAGGACTGGAGGTGGTTTGCAGTAAACATTGTTCTGAGGATGAGTCCCGAAGGTAGGATTGAAATCATGTTGTATCCCGCAAGGGAACCCGAACACCTATCACGTTCTTTGATGATACGGGGAAAGTGCCTGATGAGTGCATCCTAGACGTCAAAATCTGAACATACTGTTGATTGACGAGCACAGGGCCACCTTTCCAAGTGCTCTTACGCAAAATGATAAGTAACAGTAACATTCTCACTCTAGCAGGACCCTCCCACACCAACCTAAGTATGTAATTAGGAATCCCAGAACCAAGCACTGTATAAGGAGGAGATGCTTGTCACGAAACTGGCTCTGGCTCGGATGTCTTCTGGCGCCGGATTTTCACCTGCATACAACTTGTTTGCCATGTGTTCATGAATCAATCTTGCGACTCCTTGCCTGATGAAAGAGAAGAAAATGTATCACCCCTCTATAGCACATCGGTCTCACATGCAAAGGTATGTGTAACCTTGAACGGCCAAGTTGGATATTGCAATGGGGAATGCGGTATTTCTGATGGCATTGAAGCTCCGATCATGCGGTAGATCTTGAACTTCTTACGAACAAAGAGATGACCAAGCAGTTTGACATTAACAAACCTCTCTCCAAGCCGCAAAAGAGCCTCAAGCGTCTTGGCAACGACATTGACGAAAGCGGCGTTTTATCTGCTTCATTCTATAATCCCCTAAAAACAACACAAACAAGCCGTCCAAGGTTGCCGTCGCCTAAGGAGCATAGATCTGCCACGGCACTGTTCCTGAAAGAAACGCCATCGTTGCAGTGAAGACCGACGCTGGCCTCTTGTCCGTAAGAAGGACTTGAGAGCATTACCTGTCTGTTCCTGTAGCACCGAAGCAGGAAGATCCATCTCAAAACACTGCCGGTAATCGGCAACGTCCCGGATCTGAATGATCATACGTGCTTTCGGCTGAAGATAGTCACCAGACGCGCCAAAAAAACGTTCACGTAAATCAAGTTTTAGGTCCATTGAATATTCGTGCATTACTCAGGAAACACTTTGACAACTCCTTGGCATCTTTCTGAACACAGGGCCACCCCGACAAGTCGGAGCCGAACCGGGCTGTGTGGGGCAAGGCCCGATGGCGACTGGCCGGGCGGATCTCGCGTCATTCCATCACCGAAAAGACTTTTGGGTGCGGTATCCAATTTAGCCGCCGGTAGTTCACCCCATGTGTCGGCGGCAGTCCGACATTGCGTAAAATCAACGTCCGCACTCGGACGATCACAACGAGGTACCGCGATTTTGGGACGGCGAGCGGACCATGACTTTACCTTGACCGATACCGAATGCTTGGCTGCGTTAAGTCAGTGGGCTTTTGCCGGAATTAAGAAAATAGCCCCGTTGACGTGATGAGAGAGGATTTGCGGGCCTGAGGAGCATACATTCAAATAACCTTGCATGAGTGATATAAGGAACTGAGAGAAGCCTATGCGTTGTGAGAACCTCCACGGAACCTGCCTTTCTCGAGGACATACCCCGCTTCCGTCAAAATGGCAGGCTTCGGGAAGAGCACGAAGGATTACAAAGATAGCACGCTTATCACTGCCACTGCGTTGGACGCAGGTGTCCCTTCGCCAGCAGCCGGCGCTTCGAATGATGTACGTCTGATTCTGGAGGACGACAAGTCAGACGACGGCCTGAAGACGACGGATCCTGAGCGGCATGAGTCGGACGACGAGAGAAAGCTCGTCAATGGTGGTGTCGTTATCAGGGATGGTATGTAAAGTCATGGAACTTTTGACTGCAGCGCATGGTTCTGAACTTTAGCTGATTCGCGAAGGCAACGATGTAGCAAGATACGTCGTTAGTACCCAAGACGATGGAGATGCGTCTTGTACCTTTCGATCGTTCATCATTGGCTCTGGTATGATTATTTTCGGTGCAATGACTGAAGCTTCGGCAAGCTAACTTTACACAGGCCTTACAGCCCTTGCGGCCTGCATCAATCAAATGTAACAAGAACCCATGTCGTTTTCTGATGTCTCGTACTGAAGCAACCACGCACAGTTACTTTTATAAGCCTGTCGATGTTTCATTTGCCTCGGTGTAAGCTGCATAACCCACTTCAACTAGGGCCAAGGCATTATGCTGACGATTTGTGTCAGGTTTTTGTGCTTGATGGCATATGTGATCGGAGTTGCTTGGTCAGTTGTGCTTCCTCGACGGCAGCATGTGGAAAAGTATCTTCCATCGCAAGCGAAATGGCTTGGACCAGTTGTTCACTTTATCAACCCAGGCCATTTTGGGTTGAAGGAACATGCCGTCGCATCGATCCTTTCCACATCGAGCGGAAATGGCGCTGCAATCGTGCAGGTGTTTGGTGCAGAACGGCTGTGAGTTTGGAATCTATCCTTCAACGTGAAAGCTCGCTTCTCAACAACAACTAGGTTCTACAACCGCAGCACCGACCCTGCTACTGCAATTCTGACAGTTTTCTCGGCATCAATCTTCGGATATGGTCTCGTTGGCATCCTGAGATCCATCATCGTTCATCGTCAGTCATATTTTGGGACCCTTGCCAATTATCAGAGATGAGGACCTGTTCTGACCCAAGACAGCGAGTGAGATGGTCTGGTGGCAATGCCTCCCCATGATCTCCATCTATCAGACTCTCCACCGCGAGCCCGAAGGCAACAACAAAGACAGGCTCCGAGTGTTTGGCTTCACCTCCATTGGCATGTTTATATGGGAGCCCATAGTATCCTACGTCTGGCCCTGGCTGAACGGCATCTCCATCCCATGTCTCGCTTCTATGAAGGCCGCGCCACCAACTCGGAAGATCCTAATGACCATCTTTGGCGGCATCAACTCCAACGAGGGCCAGGGAATCTTCAACTTCTCCCTGGACTGGCAGTACATCACGTCGCGATACATGTCACTGCCGCTTCTACAACAAGCCAACTCTTGGGTGGGCATCGTGCTCTCTTACATCATGTGCTTCAGTTTCTACTACGGTGGAGCATGGGGTGCCAAGAAGTTCCCTTTCATGTCGACGGCCATGTTTGACGGGAAGACCGGCAAGGTCTACAACCAGACGGCTGTGTTTGGGCAAAACGCGATCCTCGATACTGAGGCGTTGGAGGTACATGGGCTTCCTCGGTTGACGGCGTCCAACATCTGGGCGAATATGGCCGCGATGGCTGCCATAGGAGCGCTACTGACTCATATCGCTCTGTTTTACGGGCCACTGTAAGTCCACTGTCCATAAACCAATCAGTTTTGTATCGCTCCCTTGCTGAATCCAGCAGCATCAAGCGGTCTTTGAAACAAGCCTGGAAGAAGGAAGAGACAGATATTCACTACAAGATTATGCAAGAAAATTACAAAGACGTGCCGATCTGGTGGTACATTGTCATCCTTCTCGTCGGCTTCTTCACTGGCCTTGGAGCCGTCATCAAGGGCCACACCACGCTTGATGCCTGGGCGTATGTTTGCGCCATTGTAAGTCTACTTCGACTTTTCCACTAATCTTATTATGGTTCTTATCGTTCTTGTAGCTTCTCGGATGCATTGTCGCGCCATTTTCGCTGTGCTTATACGGCCTACTGGGCACTAGCGTCGCCACGAACAACCTTTCCAAGATGCTGTGCGGCGTACTTCAACCCGGAAAACCTGTCGCCAATTTATACTTCTCGATGTTCAGTCACGAGGTTACTGTCCTCTCTGTATTCTTGTCAACTGACCTCAAGATGGCCCAGTATCTCAAGATCCCGTGGAGAACCATGTTCATCCTGCAAACTTGGGGTAGTCTGTTTGGGACAGCTCTGAACTACGTTATAATGGACACAATTGTAGCAAATCGCCGAGAAATCCTCCTTGACCCTATCGGCACCCAAGTTGTAAGTTGGTCTTGACCTCAAACTCTGGTCCTCAGATCTGACCCAAGACTAGTGGAGCGGACGCAAGATTCAGTCTCTTAACACGACTGCGGTCACCTGGTCTCTCGTCAAGTATGTCTATGGATTCGGCAAAGATGGTTATGGCTGGTGAATATCTCAAAGAAACTCTCGGTGCTTTGACATCTTCTCACAGTTGCTTTCAGGATTCCTCTCTCCATCGTCATCGGGGCTGCTATCCCCGTTGCCTTGTGGCTTGTATCCAAGAAGTACAAGACTATCTACGGCTGGGAAATAAGCAAGTTCGTCACCCCTGTCATATTGCACAATGCCTCAGAGACGACATCTGGAACTACTTCTGTCATCTGGTCTCAGGTCCTGGTTGGCTTGTGGTCTCAATGGTACATACGCTTGCGTCATCCTGCCTGGTTCGGCAAATACAACTACATCGTCGGCGGTGGTCTCGATGCAGGTGCCAAGGTCATGATGTTCATTTTGACCTTTGCCGTTGCGGGTGGATCAGGGAAAGAGGTGCCATTTCCCATGGTGAGTATTATCAATGAATTGAGATTAAGTCTATAGTTTCCTCTAACAGCATTGCAGTGGTGGGGAAACCCGGAATCCAGTTCCAAGCAGTACGCTGATTACTGCGGTACTGGCTAGACTCCTCATCTGGAGTCTGACTGAGTTAGTCTAAGGACTAAGAATGGAATTATTGGTCAAGTCTCGATGGCAGCTCCTAAAGGCATCTAGAATAGCCATCGGTGTAGCTTCATGCATCTCAAAACTTCCAAGACAAGCATCACAACATCATTGTAGCTCAACCTTCAAGAGAAGACTTGGGGTAACTATAGGAATGATGGCTAGATTCACAATGGCTCCAGTGCTCCTTGCCCACTAATGGGCTCAGGCACCGCATCCCTCGCCAGCTTTTGCCACGCCTTCAACCGGCGCTGATCGACCCAATTTCCGTGGACCTGTGCCTTGACATGGAAGGGCAACTGAATGACAGCGATGGGATTTTCGAAATCCTTCGTATCCAGCACCACAATCTCGTTTCTGTTGGCACCTCTGCGCTCAACCATGGTCATGACCCATCCGTCTCCCTCCGGCGCATCATCGCTTCGTGGTATGAAGATCGGCTCCTGACAGAACGACTCAGGCCCGGCGTTGAAGCACTTGGTTTCTTTCGTCTTTGAATTGTGCATCGCCAGACCGTTCAGTCCTTCAACAATAGTATGGCCATCACCGCTCTGGTCTTCGTGAATGTAGACATTGATCCAGACGTAGTTATATGACTTCGACAGGAAACGCTCATCAAGCCGAGGGAACTCTGCAGGCATGTCGAGAATAATCTCCGGATCTGGAACCGTGCTATTCGTGGGCTGGGAGAGATCAAAAGTCCAACGAACGTAGTCAGACTTGGGATTAGGGGCCGGATAAACTCCTTCGTTCGTAGGGAAGAATGGAAAGCCATTGTCGTGCACACGAGTCGTCTCCATGAACAGCGTCTCCCCGTCCTCGCTCTCCCACGCACCGCCCGTGTGAATGAGCATGCAGTTCTTCCACGAGTACACCCGACTCTCGCCCGGCTGCCAGCCAGGCGGAAGCTTGGTCGAACTTCGACGGGGGGCTACGATGAAGGTAGCAGGAAGATCATAGTCCCAGGCCCAGTGGTGCCCTCCCTTCTTCATGCGATCCACGCTAGCTTCGAATGGCCAAAGTGCCAGGATGATCCAGTTTGGCGTGATGGCACAGTCGTGGATTGGTGCGCACCACGGTGACTTAATCCATTGCTCGTCGTGCTTCACGCCGTTGCTGTCCAGTGCGTAAATGACAATGTCCAGCGACGCAAGACCTCTGGCCTCATATCCGAATACGACTAGCTCATTCGTGTAGGGATCGATCTTGGGGTGAGCTGTAAATGTCTTTGCTTTGATTTGTCCAAAAGGGTCGTATTTGATGGTTTCCAAGGTCTGTGGGTCAACTGAATAGGGCAGTCCTCCTTCTTTCAGGGCGAGAAAATGATCGGCCCATAACACGACGTTGGTGTTGGCGGTGGAATCCACTGCGGCACGAACGCAGGGGTGATGGGTGAATGGGTTGCGATAGAGACCAAATAAGGCCTTGTTGGCCTTGCGCTCGAGCTTGTAACGCTCGGTTTCGACGTAGCGCATCTTCATATCGACTCTCCCATCTTTGATACGGAATGCTGAGATGTTGCCGTCGCCGTCTAGGGGAACATTGTTGGGATGGGGCGGCACGAAGGGGTCTGTCATGACTCGGTAGAAGGTGCCGTCGATCTCCTTTGGGATTTCTCCCAGGACTACTAAGTCGCCAATTTCACCTTCTAGACGGCATGGCAGATTGGATCCAGCGAGATCGTAGGCCTCCGGCCACTTCGTAGCCAGACCATAATTCGAAATTGCATGTGTCTTGGATGAGGTGGCGACCTCAGCCGCTTCGTCGTCTGTTCGACCAGGAGCCATTGCTTTGTGTAGTTGAGGGGGCAATGTTGTGTGCAGTCTTGTTTGCTGACGAGGATAGTAGTGTTAAATGCATTTGTAAACGGCATCTTCCAGCTATATCTTATACTAAGAATGATCAGACGATACATTTCATAAGGCAATAACAGAACGATGGCCATTGATCTCAATAATGGGCAAAATGTAACTACCGAAACCTCACCCCTTGCCAAGTCAGAATAGAGTTCACCGGCCCAGACCCTTGCGGCCGGCCCGCGGGTCATTCACACTATTTCCCCAGAATTCCCCGCATCAAGGGCGGCCGCCTCTGCTTCTAAGCGCCAAAATGGGGCCTCGGTGAGCTGTCGATGACCTCCATCGGGCACCTCCCCAGGGATGTGCTGGAAATCTAGTCCTAAAATTATCAATCACGGATGTAATTCCTATCCGTCATCTCAACCCGTCAAGGATGATTCCCATCCTTGAGATCTGTTATCTCGTCCGCCGGTCGTCCGAAGCCATAGATCCATCCGGCTTGAAACCTCGTGTGACACCAGACTGACATAGACCCATCTACTGGAGCTGACATTGCCTTTACGTCACTTGGGATTGGTCGTTAGTATTGCATCTCTTCACATTGGCTGATTGATCAGAAGAGCCGCTCAGGAGCCGCCCAGGAGCAGTTCTTCTGCTGCCTACGGATACCACTTGGACTCTACTTGGGTTTCATTGGCGCTACCTCGGGTATGTGGCGGCCATAGACCTGCATCGGCATAGTGCCGAGTTTACTGGGTCTGTGCAACGACATGTCGAGTGGTCATCTTCTAGCGATGCGATCCCGAGACGGACGCGGGGCAGTGTCCCGGCCCGTAGGATCATGAACAGCGTGCGAGTTCCCGGAGCAAAATTGCCTCCCATGATGTCTCAATCTCCTTTCGCCCGGAGCAGCCCATTATCGTCTTCAATGTTTTTCGTCCTCTATAGCGTCCCGATCGTCATTTTCGTGTCGACTAAGAGCTAGGTGCTCTGTGCTAAGTGAGACCTTAGACAACCAAACAGTCTCTCCGGGGCCACTTCCACATCATGCCTGGATTTCTCAGTCCGGCAGTCAGGCCCGGACGGCAGTCGCAGATCAATCCGCTTCAAGCAAATTATCGGAACGCAGGCGGCTCTAAATTGATAGCCACATCGGAAGATGCTGCCAAAAAATCGCTAGGGTTCGGGGTATCGAATGAAATAAACGTCTTTGACACCAACAACACCGTCAGTCACTTTCTGGTTTTAGAAACGACACCATAGGCTGAGCGATTCATTCGAATGACTTACATGGATCGTCTTTCTGGACATCGAGTCGAACAATTCTCTTGTTCATCACAAGCTCAGGTGGAACCCCTCTGTTCTGCCTGATGAGAAGCAGTGATCCCCCCAACGGCACCAGCAATGATGCCACCAACGATGAGGATGGCCATCGCGAGCACAAAAATCCAATATCGTCGAAGCCACGATCGTTTGCTCCGGGATGCCATGGGCTCCGTCGAAATGGGAATCGCTACGTATGTACCGGAAGGCCTGTTGTCGGATCGATCGACTGCCGCAATATCTGGAGGCGCCAGCTCCCGCTTCTTGCCGTCTTCGACAATAGCCGAATGCCCAGGCCAGTCGCTGATTGCCATCTGATCACTGTATACTGTTCGGGCGGATTGCAAACGTCGAGGGACAGTTGACGTTGAAGCAGTTGAGAGCGGAGTTCCGTTCTTAGCTTTACATTGGACGGCTGAGATGGAAAGGTCGATCAAGACTGGCAGGAGGTTGATTACCTTTCGAATCACACGTGTGCAACAATGCGAAGGCGTGCTGCATATTTCAAGCGAACAACGGTTGGTGTATTCCCACGTGCCCCTTGCACAGAACATGCGCCTGCTCGGGATTTCCGGCATTTGTACGAGGCAATCAAGAGACAAGTGTCTCTGGTACGCATGGTCAGCTTGCAAGTCAAGCTAGTCAACGGCGAATAGTGTTGACGGTGGGGTGCCTCTCTTAGTCGCCAATTCGCGCTAGCTGTGATATTGACAGGTGATGTGCGAATAAGCACGTTGACTCTGCGGAAAGGCGTTGGAGATTTGACAGAATCCCGCTGTGGCGGCACGAGCGAACACTTCCCTAGCTTGGTGACGACCAAAAGAAATTACGCAAGCCGTGTTTTCGTGGAACTCTTTGCTTTTCTCCAAAATACCCTCACAGCTTGATGCAGCTCGATGCACGCGTCAAGCTGAGCCTTGAGAATTCTCATTTTTACATCAGCCGAGGCACGATCGCCGCAATGAAGAAAAGCTCGGCTCGAGAGGTTGAGCTTGTAATAGGCAAATGATCTTGATCGTGTCTTTACTCTCCCATGAATTACGCGGTCGAAATTCTGTTTACGCTCTGTGATGCATCAGCGGCGCTGGGATGTCCAATGTCTTAGCCAAGGGTCACTGGCTCGAATTGACCGCGTGGGCCTGAGACTAGCGCCAGTTGGCAAAACAAATATAGACGCCTCCACGGAGCAAACTCGTACCACTCTGGAACACCGATGCGTGTCTTCACTCTCCCTTCGCTCAGGCCCCGCCGGAAAAGCCGGGTTTCCTAGGTCCGAACAGGACTATTGATAAATTGAAGTTCATGAGATAAGAGCTCGCGTGTTGTCATTTCAGATCAAAGCTTTGGCTAAATGTTCATCACACAATCAGAGTTGATGGAAGAGAACGTTAAACCCGTCTCCTAATTCAGGAAGAGAATATTCCAGTTCTCCAAATTCTAGGGTATTAGTAGTCCACCTCATATGCACTTACAAGAAATTGACAGCTCCAGTCTCTCATGCGCTGATACGGCTGGGTATGCTTGACAATTCCATGGAAGCATTCTCCTCAGCCCCAAATGCCTTGAAACGTGAAGACGTAGCACATCTACAAATAAGAATAACAAGGAATTGAATGCATTGTAGGCTCAATAATGTTGATGATTTGCTGACATTGCGCCTCGGCTTTGACGATTCTTCTTCGTGTCAATCGCAACGCTGTTAACTGATGAGAAAGCCTTGGCATAGGATGAAGCCTACGAGCGCACCTAGCTGGGATAGATCGTAAAGCGAACTTGTTTTGCGAGTAAAAGATAAGGCCTGGGAAGCGCAATATTTCTCCTTACCATTCAAATGATTTGGCTACCTTATCCACCAAGAACTTCCAACTGCTGCCGTCAGAGGGCCAATGAGTTTTAAGGATCGCCAGGGTCCAATAAATAGCCTCTTGTAACCCACACAACCGCACCGTCGCCGCCATCCCGACAGAAATTACCAAAAGCGGGTGACACTTCGCTCGTCTTTCGGGCACTAAGCACGGGTGAGAGATGTCGCAGTCTGGATCTCTGGTCACGCAATAGCTGAATGGCAGGGGCTTATTTGGACCCAACCCCGACGGAACGCCCCGGTCTCTCGCCCGCTCCCACATCGCGGCCTCCGTTACCGTCGGTGATTGGACTGACAGTGCGGTGGGAGGCGATTAATGCAACGTTTGCCTTACACCTGGTGGGTTTTGCCCAGACTTTGGCGTCTTCAAGCACCTGCAACCTGGGCGCGGGATGGCAATCTTTTTGGATCGCGACATCGAAAATCACTTCATTCGGAAGAATTCGCCCAACTTTTCCTTGACGACTTGAATCGCAATGATGGTTTCCTTTAGCTAATACAACCGAGATGGCTCTTTATATAGTCATGAAGCAGCGCCTCGTCTTTTACCAGATAAGACTTCCTGATCTCGCTCACGAGGTCATTTCCACCCTCTTATATTTCGGGGGTCTTCAGTCTTTGCTTGCTGGTAAATGTCACTGAAGCCACAATGGGCGAACCCACATCAGTGACTTTGTCGACACCCAGGCCTGGGACCGAGGAACCCATCAACTATGGCCCCCCACAAGAAGGCATCTTTAAGCACATCTCGAAGATCATTCCGTACTTTCGCGACCCTAGAAATGTCCTAGTCTTCAAACTAGACGTCATGCTGCTTGCATGGATGTTCCTAGCAGGCATCATGAAGGAAATGGATCAGTCTGCCACAACCCAAGCCTACGTCTCCGGCATGCGAGAGTCCCTCAGCCTATACGGCAATGAGCTTGTCGAATTCAATACCTTTTTCTCAATTGGGTATGCTCTGGGCTTGGTACCTGGCCAGTTGATACAGACAAGATTCCGTCCCTCAATGTTCCTTCCATTCTGTGAGATGAGCTGGGGGCTGCTGGTACTCTTGTAAGTCTCTAACATCTTTCTTATCGAACGCCATCTCACCACTAGCGCAGCACATACAAAGCCCCGAATGCGCAAACGATCTTCGGTCTCCGGTTCTTCCTCGGACTATTCTCGTCTGCCTTCTGGCCAAGCGTCGTCGCCCTCATATTCAACTGGTACACCCCCGCCGAGCTCGCCGTCCGAGTCGCCTGCTTCACAGTGTGTGACGTTGCCGGCGCGATGTTCCTCGGTGCTCTGCAAGCAGCTCTGTTTCGCGACATGAACGGTGTTCATGGCCTCGCCGGCTGGCAGTGGCTCTTCATCATCGCCGGCTCCGTCACAGTGGGCCAGGGCCTCATAGCCTTCGTCACCGTGCCCGACTCGCCAGCGAATACGCGCGCCATCTATCTCACTGAGAACGAGAAACGCCTGGCTCGTGAGAGGATGGGAAACTCTGGCGTCAACACATCCAAGCGCATTCCGGCATCCGTACTCCGCCAAAAGCTGCGAAAGCTTATCGTTCATCCAGTCACGTACTTCTACCTCTTCTCTTTTGCCTTTGGGGCTTGGGCTCATAGGGCAAATTCCTACTTTGTCCTATACCTCGAAAGCATCAAAGACTCAGCCGGCAACCGCGTTTATGACACGTACCAGGTCAACATCCTGCCCTTGGGTGGGTACGCCTTGCAAATTGTCACCAATATTGGTCTCAACTGGCTTTCCGACTGGAAGCGTTGGCGTTGGCAGATAAGCATTTTCTCTGCCGCAGCTCACGGCATCTGTCTAGCAGTCTTATGTGGGTGGCCGTCTGATCACAAAGTCATCCTTGCATTTTACTTCCTCACGTATGGCACCAACGCCGGTGGCCCATCGCTCATAGCATGGATGGCTGAGATACTCCGAAAGGAGCCCGAGGCTCGTTCCATTATTGTGGCCTTGACTGTCACAGTCGTCTACATTGGCCATGCGACTATACCACTGGGGGCCTTTCGCGTCGCAGACGCTCCAAGATACCCTATCGGATTCCCTCTTACAACTGCGTTCACCGTGGCTACAATTTTTACCCAGCTGAGTATGTTGTGGTGGGATAGACGACATCCACAGATGGCAGAGTACGGGTATGAGCCAGCCATCAGTGCCCAAGGTTTGTCGGACGAGGAGAACGCCAAAGTTGCTGAATCGGAAGCTCCTGTCGATGTAGGTAACGATAAATCAGCTCAGATCTCGGGTACGAAAGAGCTGTAGATCTACTTTTGACAAAATTGACATACATATGAGACCTTGTGTTCACTGTATTCGACGGAGAAGGTGCACAAGAGTGGGCCTTCCTTCCTTCCCTAGTAGGCATATTCTGTTTATTCCGCCTGCACCCAGCCTCGATGCCCACATGATGAACAAAAATGCTTCATTCTGTCACCAAGGCCTGTGTCGTAGCGGAGAATGTCATCGCAGTGATTGAATAGCTCCGCACGCATAGGTCCCGGGTTCGAGTCCCGTATTGTTCTTGTAAAACTCCTTGCATCGTTACACCTGAGGCTGGTAAGAGTCTCCTCGGATCTTTCGTAGGCTCCCTGTGTTGGGGGCTGAGCTTTTTGCATCTAAGTAGGCAATTAGAACATCAGGACGACAGTGTATGTTTGTGTTTTTTCTGAGGGCTTGATTGGTTGATTGGTTGAACTCTACCTACTCAAATTAAGCTGACCATCCCAGTCGAGGATCTGAAGAGGTCAGACATACGAATCCCACCACGACCAAAATAACGAACATCACCCAAGCACATAGCTCCTTGCTTTCCGATATCTCATAAGAGGGATCAGTAGAGGAAGTAGATGCTGGTCTCTGGCCGACCTCAATATCTGCTGGAACTAATCTGTATCTGTGGGTGGTTCCTTCAGCATCCACAAGGTAGAGCTGCGGAGACTTCATACAAGGCCCTGCGGCCCAGCTTCGATGAAATGGTTGACTTTGTCTCTGCGATGATGCATTATTTTGGGTGGGAAACGTTCCATAAGAAGCAGCAGGTAGTTCAAAATCTTGTGGGCAGTCCAACAAGGTCGAGCATGATTCGTCTCCCGAGTCAGAAGAATTCGACATTTTTGCTTTTAGATCGTTGTGATCTGAGATCGGCTTTGAAATTCACTGGCGGCTAATGTAGATACCAGGATGATGGGACCCAGTGCTCCAGTGACAAGTTTGGGGCCGAGGGGATGGGGAGGTAAAGACTGCTAATTTCATGGTCTCCGGGGTTTTTATAAGCGTGGTAGCACATAAGACACCAACAGCAGGTTGACGGTCGTACCAAACGCAGCGATCTGTGTATTGACAAAGCAAATGAACATGGGTTCTCGCAAATTGTTCTCGTGTCGCACCGGGAAAGCCTGGTCTCTGCCCCCTACTCTCCCCACGAATGAAGGTAGAGCCAGAGAACCTTTGAACCCTTGTTCTGATTCCCTGGGATAAAAGTCAAACACGAGCAGCGGGTTTGTGGACGAAAGACCCGCGTCATTTTGGTATTGGTGGTAGAATGCCGCAAGAATTTTGCATTACATATGCATTGCTTCGAGTTAGACAGTAAACACACCCTCCAGCTGAAATCTTAACATCAATTAATTGCCCGTGATTTTCAGTCTCTGCTTTCGTAAGCTTTTGGTACGTGATGTGGTAGAGTAGCTGCCAAAAACCACGACCCGTGGTTCCTATGCCCCAAAGATCGTCGTAAGCAATTAGGCACACGACTATGGATGAGAGAAAACAGTAATCTGCAAATAAATCCCGTCAATATTTTTTCATCTCTGGGTAGTGAATACTACGATTTGTGTGCAACGCCGTGGCATCACGAGTAGAGTTCAGACAGGGAAGTGTGGGGAGAGGTCTGGTCGAGAGGCCTACCACAATGATAATGGCAATCACCACCATCAGAGAAAAGAATATGACATATTCCACATTTCTGATCCCAGAAGAATTTTCCATCGAGTCAATTATGGAGAGAATGGAGCCTTCAAAATGGCGTGGGTGAATATTGCGTTTCGGAACTTGGAGTTGTTGGCTTGATTTCTCCCTGTCACCAAGAAGATCTTCAAGACTTTCCAGATCTTGTCTCGGGTCTTCCACGGCTTGATTCTTTTCGACTTCTGCCGGCACGAGGCGATACTTTTTGTAATTCCCTTGGCTGTTGATTAAATAAAGCTCGGGAATATTGGCAATCGATGGTCCCGCTACTGAATGGTTGGCTTGCTCCTGGTAACGAGTCTGGTCTCTTCGCCTTCGTTTCTTCATGTTGCGATCATTCTCACGTCCGCCGCTTATCGGAGCCAGGCAAACGCGATCCGACAGGGCATCTTGGCCAGAACTGTCCAAGTTCCAGTCAAATAAGGTAGACATGTCGGAATCATCATGGGTGTCTGCATATGATTGACACTCGGTTCCAGACCGGTCGCCAGAGTCGAAAAGGACATCGTCATTAGATGAGTCCGACATCCCCAAGTGTATGATTGTTGAGGGCGGTGAAGATTATAGTCGCTTTGCGGAGAGAAGCAAGAGTAAGGGAAATACTTGTTGTCAAAGGGCATGCAAACAACTGTGCACTTATTTATGAGACGCATGAAGGTGATCATTTCATGAAGGTAAACTCGGAATCTGTTAAGGCAACAAAGGATTGCTTGCTAATTGCGTAACAGCGTTGATGTTTCAACTCATGCAGCTATCCGCAGAATTACAACAACATCGAAGGGCCAAGAAGCAAACACCATGGATCTGCAATTCACATTTCGATCCAGACCTGTCTATCATTTTAGAGACACTTCTGGCCTGTGGGTGACAGATGTTACTAAACTGCCAAAACCTTTTGACCGTGCTGGGCGTTATCGCAATGAGGAAGCGACGCATTTGCTCACCGAATATGGTCCCACTTTGTCTTGCGGTCTCATTGTGCTACTCTACACGATGTCTAGTATTGGCTCAAAGATCATAGAGAAAGTACAAGAGCTCGTTGCCTACGCTTACCGCTCAACTTACACGCAGGCTTTTCTCCGAGCGAAGGCGCTCCACTCTCTTTGTCACAAGACCTTTGCTTACTATAATTCTGATGTCGCGTGGATTGCAGATGGAATAAAGTACGGCCGCTTCGTAAATCCCAATCCATCATCGCTCCTCCGGTGATATATATCTCCGCATTTCGCAGAGCGGAGTCAGCGACTGGTCCCGGGACTGGATCGGATGTGGTATTTGCGGGGCCCCGTGGACTCCGGAAGTCTCCGGACAGGGTTCCGGCTGGCGCGGGTTTAGCCTAAATGCGCCGAATGTACCGAAGTGATCGAATCAAGGCAAGTTTTGCTCACGCGTGACAGGAGACTCCGTCGCGTTTACCGACGATACTCCGAGACGGCCCGCTCATCCTACGGGGAAGGACAGTATTTCGGCGGTTTTTGTGCTTCGGACTCGGGTCTGTGCTGACCGAATCCCTAGATGACACCGCATAATATTGACCGGAAGGCCACTTGAAGCTTGATAGCTGTCCGAGATTACCGGGCTTTCCAAATTCCCCTAACTTCAATCACTTGAGCTTCGTCAGATCAAGGAATTATCAGTATCGTCGAGATGGCTGCTGAGTTCACCCCCCTCGACGTCGAGGCGTTGATCAAGCAAATGACCTGGGACGAGAAGACCGAATTGCTTGCTGGGCAGGGATCTTTCCGAACGACCGGTCTACCTCATCGCCAAATACCAGATCTCATTGTTAGCCGGCACTTTGCCTAGGGATGAGCATCTTGCTAACCTCCCGTGCAGACCTCAGACGGCCCTCATGGCATCCGAGGACGTCGTTCTTTTGCTCGTGTTAGTCCAAGTCCTTGATCGCTCTGGGCGATGAGAAGCCTTCAAGTTTGACCATTCTTTGGCTCCGATACTGATAAATGAGTTTCTTCCCCAGAACCCGAGCCCCATGCTGCCCTCTGCCACTGGTATGGGCGCAACTTTCAACGCCGAATTATTGCACAAGGTCGGCAATCTTCTTGGAGAGGAGGCAAGAGCCAGAGGGGTGCATGTGCTGTTGGCACCTACCATCTGCCTCCAGCGTTCACCATTATTCGGACGTGGCTTCGAGGCGTTCGCCGAAGATCCCTTCCTGAGCGGTATTCTCGGAGCAGCCTACATCAACGGCGTGCAAGAACGAGGTGTTGCAACGAGTGTCAAGCATTATGCCGCGCACGATCAGTCGGACAATTCCATTGAAGACAATGTCTGCATGACGCAGCGGACTTTGAGGGAGATCCATCTAATGCCATTCCAACTCGTCATGCGCGACTCAGATCCCTGGACCTTTATGACCTCTTACAACAAGATCAATGGTATTCACGTTAGCGAAGACCCTTTGCTGCTGAAGCAGGTTCTTCGAGATGAATGGGGCTTCAAGGGACTCGTCATGAGCGACTGGTTTGGTACTTACAGCACCTCTGAAGCCATCAACGCCGGGCTTGATCTGGAGATGCCCGGGCCCACACAATGGAGAGGCAAGTGTCTAAGTCTAGCTATTAACAGCCGCAAAGTCGCGCGTACGACAGTTGACGAGGCTGTTCGGAATGTTCTCAATTTGGTGAACAAAGTGAAGGATACGAAACCGGCTGGCTATTTCGCGGCGTCGAATACACCCGAGCAGCAGGCTCTGATTCGTCAACTGGTCGCTGAAAGCATCGTCTTGCTAAAGAATGATTGCAAGGTGCTCCCAATCACAAAACCAAAAGGGAAGACAATCGGATTGATTGGCGATCATGTCAAGAACCCTGCTTTGAGTGGAGGCGGCAGTGCAGAGGTTGAGCCTTACTACTCCGTGACACCTTACGATGCTATTGTCGAGGCAGTTGGAACGGAAAACGTATCATATGCCCTTGGTTGCCATTGTAAGGTTTCACTCAACATACTTGGGGTATTTGATATTAACAGCAGTCGCAGCCTTCAGATTCAGCCCACTTCTAAAGAATTTAATGCCTCAGCAGTCACAGCACAAAGGGTTTGGGTGGTCAGTTGAGATCTTTGAGGAGAATCCGGACGAGAACCCTAACGCAGAAGTACTCGTGACGGCTCACGCCCAGAAAGAACTCATAGATGTGCCCGAGAGTTTCCACGCGTCGCTTCCAAAGAAGTTTTACGTCAGAGCCCGGGCTATATACACGCCTTCCGTCACGAGCCCCTTCAGATTCGGCTTCAGTACATCGGGGAAAGGCAAGCTCAAAATAGACGGGAAGGATGTCATCGATTTATGGACGGACCAGCCGCCGAAAACAGGGCCTACGCCTTGCTTCAACAGGCTTTCCATGGAGAAGTTTTGCAACACAGATGTGGTTGAGGGTCTAACCCTCGAACTTGAGGTTGTTCAAGTAAACGAGGACCTCTCAGGAGGTGTTGGCACAGCTTTGACCCTTGCAGGCCGCGTTGGTGGATTTGAGCTCATTGATGAGGAGGTCGCCATCAAAGAAGCTGCAAACTTGGCCAAGGAAGTCGATATTCCTATCGTTGTGACTGGACTGTCATCAGATTTCGAGTATGAAGGGGCCGACCGAAAGCACCTCAGACTGCCAGGCCGCGTCGACGATCTAATCGAAGCAGTGCTTCAAGCCAATCCAAATGCTGTAAGTAGCTTCCCTTCTTGGCCGAACACACGAGGGCAACCGCGAGTTACAAATGTTCGATACTAACACATCCTCACAGGTAATTATCACTCAATCAGGGTGTCCAATTGAGATGCCGTGGGAATCGAAAGCAGCTACCTTGGTGCACGCATGGTTCGGCGGCCAGGAGACAGGCCATGGCCTCGCAGACGTTCTCTTCGGCAAAGCCAATCCCTCCGGCCGCCTATCTCAGACGTTCCCTGTGTCCATCAAGCATACCCCCGCATATCTCTCATTCTCAAAGTCTGACTACGATATCGTGTACGGTGAGGGGGTCTTCATCGGCCACCGCTACTACGAATCAGTTGACAGAGATCCGCTCTTCTACTTCGGCCAAGGCCTGTCCTACTCAAAGTTTGAGTACTCGAAGCTTGAGGTGCCAAAGACATTTGAGCCGACGGAAGATTACAAAATGAAGGTCTTGGTTGACGTAAAAAACACGGGTCCTTACGACGGAGCGGAGGTTGTCCAGGTCTACATCCACGATCCAGAGAGTACGCTGCTGAGGCCTGTCCGAGAGCTCAAGGCGTTTTCCAAACCTTTCTTGTCTGTCAATGAGACAAAGACTGTTGAGGTTGTGCTCGATAAGTACTCACTTTCGTACTGGTCGCAGGAGAGGTCCAGGTGGATTGCTGAAGCAGGAGACTACGTTGTCATTATTGCCTCAAGCTCCAAACCGCAGGACGAGATCCTGCGGGCCACTTTTAACTTGCCCGAGACCTTTTTCTGGGAGGGCGTCTGATTGCGCGCATTTAAACAGCTAGAGTAGAGGGCATTGAGGCAACGAGGGTGTTGAGTCAACTTCACACGTTGACGCCTAAAGTGCAACATGGATGATCTAGACTTCATGTGTAGAGATAGTCGAAAACCCCTAGCTCCGCATGTTCTAAATTTCACATGTAAACATCAGGATACTTATTCCTCGAGAAAGGCCTGCAATGTGCTTTGAATCTGGTCGTCAACAGCATAGGCCACCTTTAGCTATAGGACTATTTGGGAAATAGCAACTCGACCCACGAGCAGCAGGAACGGCTTCAGGACTCGCAAGCTCATCCGTCTTCTCTGTGGGAAGTTTTATGCTCGTGATACCCTGCTTTGGATCTTGAACTGCTTGCATTTTCCGAGACTCGGACTCGATAAACTCCAACATTCCAGACAGTGTCGCAGAATATTACCCCTCTATTTGGTGGGCCCGACTTGAGTCAATGATGACACTGGAACCTTCCCTGGTTCATTTGAGATTTCTGTAAGGTTCATTGGGGTCACTGCGGAGGTTGCGCTCTTTCATCGATAGCAAGGGATGTGCTTTCGACCCTTTCATGGCCTCACCTAGCATTGAACCATCCTCCCACAAACGATGCTCTGTTTCGATGTCGACGGTAAGCATCACGGAAAGATCTGATCGGGTGAAATCGAACCGGAACAATATCCTTGGCTCTCTCGCTAAAGCTAGTGGGGAGGCGGCAAGAGGTCCCGTGGAATGCGGCCTGGCAGTTGAATCGCGTCACCAAAGACATCGTCTCCCTTCTCAGCACCACCTTGCACAGTCGCACATAGGGCGACTGGATCCTCTCTTTCAGCTGCTTGCCGTCTAATGGCGCCGTTACAGATCTAAGACCGTTGAGTTAAAATGGAAATATTGCAGATCTCTCAGATGTTGGCTCGATGATACCAGTGGCTCGTTGCTTGCTGGAAGCGAGCTTGTCAGCGGCTTTTCCGAGGGATCAGATCGGTCGACCACGATGGAAACTCGCGCACACACACGATCTTAGTTATATGCGGACTTGGCAGGAGCGGTGACCTCCGGAAAATGATCGACTCACTGGTAAACGTATGAGTTGTTGAGCTTCAGCCTTTTCCTTGTCAGCCAGCCAGGACATCGGAATATTACCCCAAAAAGACGATGGGAGATGAATCGACGTACCCGCCAAATAAACTCAAGGCCGACATAGGCCCAGATCATCGCGAAATCAGATGCCATGTTCCTCAGCCTTCGTATACTGGACCCATCGTCTCAACGCGCGTGGCGACATTGATCTGCCAAGCGTTGTGCCAGAAGCCGAGTTGTCACTTTGACTCTCACATCTCACACAAGCTTTCGCACTTTGGGAGTCTCTCGCAGGAAGTTGTGGATATGGGTGCGCATCTGGCGGGCAGCGGATCTTGACTCCCACCGGGATGCGGGTGAGACCTCCGGCACGTTCGCGGTCTAGCCTGTGCGCAATACCCATACAATGTCTCGCGGGGATCCACGGCGATGATGACATGGAGCTATCCCTCGTGTTGTTATTTAGGGCACTTGTGCAAGACAAGGCCTCCACGAGCTGAACGGTAGTGATGGATCCAGGCCTAAGGAAGATTCGGTCTGTGAGGGATCACTAGGTACTGAGACGGCGAAACCACTCAATCTTGGAGCCATTGTCCGCGCAGAGAGTCATAACGACATCAGCTTGTGATAGGGAAAATTCGAAACGGCCTTGGCATAGGAACCAAAATTGCGGTCGGTCGATTGACGGTATGTGGAACTGGGGAAACAAGGCATTCCCATCTCCACAGCCCACTCTCTCGGTACCCCGGAGTTCGTCTCATTCGTTGAAATACAGGGTTAGTAATGAGAGATCGACTGGCACGTCATTTACCGTAATCCTGGGTTCATCCGGCATGAAAGAAGTGCTCATATTTGAGGCTCTGTGAGTCTGACACATATCTCGCAGGGAGACGACAAGCCGAGCCAATTTTTCCTATGCGGTCTCACGATTTTGACAACTTCACTTCAGCTTCTGCTCAACCAAAAAGATGGGGTGAAAAAAAAAATCCGGATTCACAGCCGTGGCGCGCTTGTTTCTCGTCTGCATCTTGATGCAGGGCTTTCTGAAGACCTTCATCAAAAAGTGACTCGCACGTGCAGGAAGCGTAGCTCTTAGTCGATTCACATAGCCCACTCTATCGCGCGAAAGCACGCTTTCTTTTCCGCAAATTCCATTGGGACCTGCAGCAGCGCAGGTCTTCTAGACTGAAAACCCTTTCTTTTTCTCGGCTTCCTAAGCCCAAGTTCCGCCCCTCCACGACCCAATCGCACAAAATCTGCTTAGTTTTCAACGTGTCGTGCGTGTGTCCCCGCGGCTGGGGTTCCACGAGGGGTAGGGGATCCTTTCACACTCTTAATCTCTCTCCCTTTCTTACACGGCTCTTGAGCTTCCCTTGCCAAGGGCCTACCAATGGCGTGCCATGGTCCGATGTCTGCATCTCGAACAGACAAATAATTTGGCCCTTGCAGCAAGCCGGACGGGTTCCTTGCAGCGCAGTTAATCTGAGGCACACCACCCATTAGAGCCAAGTGGCTAGTGAGGTCTCCCACAGGGATCCCACGGATCCTAGGGAACATCCTCTCATCACGCAAGCTTATCTACCTTTTTACATCTGTACGAGCCCTACCAGACCCAGGCGATGGACCCCCGGAGCTGTTCCGAGGCTGAGGAGACGGGTTTCTGCGAACCACGTAGCAGCGATCTACCTATTCATCCCGCCCGCATGGCAAGCACACCACTAAGCACGACGCTGATGCTAGTCAAGCCACTTTCGCTAGTGTCCGCAAGCTTGGTCTCGTCTCCAACGGACATGGCCAGGCAGGGATGCGGACTACCTACCTAATTCTCAGATTGCTTATGTCTCGATAGGCAAAGCAAGCAACAGACTGCGTATGACCTGCGAGTCGCGAGTCTATGATGGAGGAACCGCATAGCCAGCACTATCGCTGAGGCAATCGCGAGATGAACCAAGGGAAGAAGGAGTCTAAGACCCAGAAAAGACGCGATATTGGTGGCCGACTGTTGGCTCTCTGAACCCCACCATCCCTTGGTACACCGCGTTGGTTTCTGTGGAAGTCGCCATGGGAAGTGCTTTTTCCTATGCCGAGTCTCTTGATTTGATGCTCCTGGTGGTGCCTCTCTCAAGATGCCTCTGGGTGTATAAGACTTGGAGGTTTCCAGGCCCGGTTGTCTGGAATTGTTCTCATCTCCACACCAGCGCAGTCATCTCCTGCATCTCTTCCCATTGACAAGCTCCAGACATTCACTCTTTGCTCTTTTCGAAGTTCAAGAGTCACCAGTCTTTAAGAGGTCCAGTTACTAACAGCAGTCATGAAGCCTTCCACCTCTGCCGTGTTGGCCGCCCTCTTTGGGTCCGCCGCTGCTCAATGTAACAGGGACAACTGCCTGAGAGGTGAGTGATCGTCCACCCTTACCTCGACCCTGGAGGGCGATCTACAATAGAAGGGCCACATGGACTGACTTACACCCCCACGTGTAGCCATTGCTGCCAGTGCCTTCACCACCAGAAGCGGTACTGCCGACTGCTCTCGGTACCTGCAGGTGACCGTCTACCCCGGTGCCACGTAAGTGCCTCTATCACGAGCCCTCTCAACTCCTCCACTGCCCATCATCCAGAAGGACTAACACCTCAGCAGGACGACCACCACAACCGTGACGGTCCCGACCAGCGGAGTCTTCACCTCCACGGTGACTCTCACTTCCGGCGGCGGCGCCGGTCCTGTTGAGACCAGCCTCGTCGTCGAGACCGAGTTGGCCTCCTCTACAGCCACCTCCCTCGTCGGCGTCACCCAGACCACGACCGTCGCCACAGAGGTCGTCATCGTTCCCACCACTATCGTCGTCTCCTCTACCCGGACCCTCACCTTTGGCACCACCGAGATCACCACCATCGCCACCGAGACCCAGACCATCTTCGAGACCATTGCCCTCAAGAAGCGTCAGGCCGCCACGACCGCCATCTCCGCAAACACCTTCCCGGCCTACGCTTCCGCCTGCAGCTCCGTCGCCCGCTACGCCTCGGCCTGCTCGTGCCTCGGCGTCACGCCCAACACGGTGACCTCGGCCGTCGCCACCGCCACGGCAACCGTCTCGGTCCCGGCCACGATCCTGTCCACCTCTATCGTGACCGTCACCGTTTCCGGCAGCGGATCTCCCGGCTCCACGGCTCTCTCCACGACCACAACGACCTCGACCGCCGTCACCACCGTCCTCGCCACGTCCACGGCCTTGGAGGCGGTCACAGCCACGACCTCCGTCGGCAGCACGTCTACGGAAGTGGTTGAGGAGGTTACCTCTGTCACTGGTACTTTCTTTAACAACGCTACCTTCACCACCTTCGTTACCCGCACCACCTCGCTGCCTCCTATTTTCAACACAACTATTACCATTGGACCCTCGTCCACCACGTCCGAAACCGAGTCTTCCTCCACTGGTTCTACCATCTTTGACAGCACCAGCACTGAGGCTAGCTCATCCGCTCCCTCTTCCTCTTTCTTCCCCAACTCTACCATTATCTCTACTATTTCAGAGACCTCTTCCACCTTTACTTCTACTATTTTCCCCAACATCACTTCCACCGGATCCAGCTCGTTCCCCAGCGAGTCTTCCATCACCTCGACCTTCTTCCCCAACACCACAATCACGTCCGGGTCAACCACCATCACGTCGAGCTTCGCCTCCACCACCGTGTTCCCCAACACGACCACGTCCTCCGTTGAGAGCGAGTCGAGCACCGTCTTCCCTACCAGCAGCGGCTTCCCCAACACCACAATCACCTCTGGCAGCGAGACCTCGACCGTCTTCCCTACCACCACGCTCTTCCCGAACTCGACCACCTCCGAGACAGCCTCAGTCTCGCCCACCTTCTTCCCCAACAGCACGACTCTCACCTCTGGTAGCGAGTCCTCTGCCT